ATATATATATATCTATATATACCTCCGTGTGTGTGTGTGCCTGTGTGTGTGTGTATAAATATATTCTCTATATATATATATATATATATATATATATTATCTATATATATACATATATATATATGTATATATATATATATATATATATATATATATATATATATATATATATATATATGTATATATATATATATATTTACATATATACATATATATATATATATATATATATATATATGTGTGTGTGTGTGTGTGTGTGTGTGTGTGTGTGTGTGTGTGTGTGTACATATATAAATATATATATATATATATATTATGTACGAATAGACGCAACACGAAGGTTTTGTGATTTAATTTATTAGGAGTATACAAGAATTTCATACAATTCCACTATGAAATACACGTCTGCTAATTAGACACATATACATCAAATACAATTTCGTTCTTATATATTTTCTGCATCATGTTTATCAATACAACAGTACAACACTTAAAATATGCGATTCCCTCTTTAAGCACTATATAATATATGCTTTTCCGAGGAAGCGTTGTTGCATTCCTTTGTTGTGACAAACGTAATCCTGTACCACCGAGTTGTGTGCGATTTGTATACACACCTCGCCCATGGTTTCCAGGGTTGTATTGTTGCTATCTGCGTCATCCGCAGAATTTTCTTCCAAAACCATGATCCCGATGACCACTTTACCAGTCTTTGTGTGCGTGATCGTATGTATTATATTAAATCCTCTACAGTATTATAGTATGACACTGTTTCTGTGCTTGACCGTATGAAAAATCAATATAAATCACTATAGTATTATATATGTCTATATTTGTGTGCGCGAACGTGTGCAATAAATTAATCCCTAAAGTATAACAGCATGAGGATTTGCTTAATAGCGTATTTACATCTCTGACTTCAGAACGATGGCATATGCGAATGCATCCTTTACATACAGAATCATATGTGTTCTAGAGAGATTAGATCAATAGATTTCGAAGTACATATTTTATTAGAACGACAAATACATTTTGCTCTATTAAAAAGCGCGCCAAAAAGCTCTGGAATGTCCGCCAAATCAATAATTGCAGTTCGGTATAGGCGTATCCCTTGGTTTTCAGATGTGGACGAACAAGCTCGCGTTTAATTATAGATCCTTGGCTTTTGTCGATAAGTCACCAAATACTGCTGCAGAGCCACCATGACGCAACAAAAATATGCATAGCAAACCATGACCAGGAGGTTATGCGCATCCAGTGTGTATGATATATTGAATATTCGTGCAATTGATTCTAGCATTCGCCTCTACTTGATAGCATCCCGGTCGCTTGAATTGCGTAGGATTCGTTGCGGAGAATAATCTTCATGTATTTCGTCTCAACCTGAATAAAGAGCTTGGCAGAAGTGAATTGCAACAAGCAGCGTACACCGTATAATAATACCCAACCTCACACACATTCCGTACAAATGTCGCTCACAACACTGAAAAGGAGGGTGGGAAGAGGACTATCCAACAGTGGGCTGTCTAATAGCAAGACGGCACTGAAGAGTTTTGATGCATATCCCAAAACAATCGATGACTTTGCCGTCAAGACATCCGCCGGTGGGCTGAGTATGTCTGTGCATTGCCTTTTTGTGTGTCTACGATTTCCCCGTGCATTCAATTGATTTCCCCGTGCATAATTGAATGTTCCTTTCGATCTTTCATCCAAAGAGTATTATTCAACTATTGCGCGGGGTCCTACTGTTCTGCAGTGTCTAATTCAATAAGCATCTAGTGAACGTATATGGTCTATAGACGCTACTCACAGCATTTGTTGCATCTTGCGCACGGTCCAACCCTCATTCAATTTCTTCTACATGCAAGAATTCTTATTGAGGTGCTGCATTATATGGTATTATTTGGTTCGTGTACGTACTTAATACCATTCACCACTCGCGTATTCCCTGTTGCCTCATAATATCTTTCTCCACACTTCCTCAGTTTCTCTGTTTAGCATGGTCTGTATAGCGTTGCTGTTTCTGGGAGAGCTGAATCACTATCTAACAACAAAAGTACAAGATCGGCTCATCATCGATACGACACTCTCGCAACGACTTAAGATTGAGCTGGATGTAACGATGCATCACCTACCCTGTTCACGTAAGTGCAACTTTATTTGACACTGAAGTGTTGTTGTAATCTCTTCCGTGGGATGTGGCATCTTTGTGCTGCGTTTACGTATTGTACACTTGTCTACTTTTGTGTTCGCCAGTAGACCAGTGTGAGATCTACATATGACTATCAATCCTTGAACACTGATAGTGTGAATACGCCTACTGAGGGCCCTGAACAAGCTTATAGTGTCCCGAGAACTTCTATGAGTTTACTGTGAAATAAGCAACCAGTAAAAGCTTTATATCAAAAGGCAAAGTTAGTACCTACATCTATCTGCACTTATCTTCATCTTCCTGTACTTGTCTACATCTACCTGTACATAACAGAGTTGGGGGTAGACGTAATGGATGTGAGTGGTGAGTCTCAGCACGAGGTTTCAGACAATATTACCAAGCAGCGGCTGGACAAGAATGGCAATTACATCTCTGCCGATGTGAATGATGGCGCGGGGTTATCTGTAGACGGTAAGTGAATAGTTTGCATGCACCTGTGATCAGGTGGCAAGTGAAGCATTACGTTGGTGCATGTGCAAAATATTAAGACAAATATTACACGCGTTGCCATTATGGTAGTGGGTATTGGATTCAAACCGGGAACATTCCGGCGACGATTCACTCGGAAAATGTTCTCAGACTCATTGGTTGTGTGTGACGTATGAATTTTAATGCACTTGTGTTGATATGTTAGAAGCAAGGCAGCCGCATGCTTTTGCAAATAATGTGGATCCAAGTTCTAGTTCAAAGAGATAGTTCCCGAATAAGCAAAGTTAGGTAAACTACGAATGATATTATTCTCTCGAATAGGCAATGTTGTTTTGTTACGAAGGAATGTATATAAAGTCAATTAGTGACAAAGTTTCGAGAACTTAATAGTGTTGGTCCGAGCTAATATTAAACCCCAAGCATCTTAACTCCGAATTGTGTGCTTCTGTGTACGTAAGGAGTCGACGATGTGATTTCTATTGCATGCAGCTGTGCTGATCGGCCGCTGTGATGATAATGTGTTATACAATAACAACACATGAACATCCTTTCAAGCTTACCACTTTGTAGTCGATGATGTGTTCAATTTGTTTACTCGATTGATTGCGATTGGCAGGCTTACCAGAACAGGATATGCTCGACCGTGCGCTGCAACGGCGTAATCGCGGAATGCAGCACGCCAAACTCATTCTACCAGACGACTACTGTGGGTCGTGCTACGGTGCTGAGACGGAAGAGATGAAGTGCTGCAACACGTGTGATGAGGCGCAGCAGGCGATAAAAGATGCCGGGATATACGTACCAGACAACATCGAGCAGGTATATTTTACACGTCGACATATTTACGTGACGAAAATTATTTACACACGCAGATCGATAGTATGTGGTGAGGTATGGTGTATTATTTTATAGTCTGTCTTTGGGTTGATTGCGTTCTATGCATTGGAAACAACACACACGGTTAATAAAAACCGAGTGCGACTAAATCTATTGTTAGAGAGAACAATCAGGATGAAGCTTATTAACATTAAGGCTTCTAAGCGATGGTGTCGCACAATCTTAAGTAAGCATCAGCGAAGTGGTCATACCGGCTATGTGTATAATTTATGCTTACATTTGTGCACCATCAGTGCGTATTGCACTCAAAAGGTCAGAGGTTTTTCAACAGGTGTGAATGATATTATACTCTTATTTTGAAAGAATGTAGTGCAAATGATCTGTTATTGTGAGTGCATAATAATGTAGAAGTGTTTGAACGAAATATAGGATGACGTGTGTAGGAACATTCACGATATCCTATGAGTGAGACAAGAAACGATAACGAAATTTCTAATTTGTGTATATTTATGTTTTGAGTGAAAATTCGTAGCTATAAGTGATTGGTTTGGTACACATTGACAACCTCTTTTTGTGTACAACTAAACTGTGAACTTATAGAGATCTTTCAACTTATATTTTCGTAATCGCCAGTTGACAAGGAGACTTACCTTAATATCATGTTTTATGCAGTGTGTTAGAGAAGGTAAAGAAGATCATCTAGAGGCTGGCTGGGATGAAGGCTGTAGAGTTCGCGGGTACGTCGAGGTGAAGAAGGTTGCAGGGAACATTCATATAGCGCCCGGTATGAAAACTTTCGTGCGGTTCGCAGACTCTGTGCTTATATACGAATAACTTACTGTTCTGTAGACAACAATGTAGATTTGCTATGCGACATCGAATGATCTCAGTACGCGCAAATTCAAAAAAAATGTTTTTTAATTTGCCGCTTGTTATGCGTCTTCTCGGCATTATCGCTGTCCCGAGATTGTTTGTCTGAAGTTTCATTTTTCTCGCACAATCATTCTACAGTACGACTTGCACAGTTGGCATAGAAAACTACTCATACTCACTAATATTTTGACTCTTGATTTCTATGCATTTGCATGCACTAGGTCACAGTGCTGAGACGGGCCGAGCCCATGTGCACGATATTCGGCGCTTCCCTGTTGAAAAATTCAACTCATCGTTTACTGTACATCGCCTACAGTTTGGCAACAGCTATCCTGGATTGATAAATCCGTTAGACGGCACCTCACGAGTCGCACAACAAGGTGCGCATGTACACTCCTGTAACGTTTGTGGCGCTTTCGTGCATAAGGTTCGAGTACCTGTATATGTGTACGAAAACCTATTGCCATGGCCAATGTGAAACAGACATACGATTGTGTTTCGTTGCTATATCATTGGTAGATAAGTAATTACTCACTATCTCACTATTTTTGGCTATGCTGTCGTGTTTTAACTTTTTTGTTGTATTGTTGGTATTCTGTGATATCGGTCTATTTTTATTTTTTGCTGGATAGTTCTGTAATTATTCATGTTGGCTTTCTGTAATTTTGGTACGTACAGTTCGCATAGATGAGAGCTTTGGGAGTACATAAACTTGCAAACAGCTACAGAAAGTACGCGTCAATTTATTAGCAAAGGAAACTCCTGTTTCATTTCATATGCCTGATATATATATACTTACCGTTGGGTACTGAATACCTGTCATTGTCTGGTTATGCCTGTTACGCTCACATCCTCTGAAAGTATGAACACTTATGACAATTGCAATATGAAAGTTCTTCTCACATTGATTCACCGTATGTGCTATTGATGATCCGCCATATTTATCAAACCGCCTCCTTTTTTCATTATTTCAAAGCTTAGGGTCTACTATGTTTCAGCATTTCCTGAAGATGGTACCGACAGTATATGAAAAACTCGATGGCGAGGTATGTTATCGATCTGTGCGTTTGTTCCCTTCCTCGTCGCTTTTCATCGACCTTGTCCATTTTGTGAAAGCATCTGCTGCAAAGCCGGCAAGTAACTCAATACCTTGCTAAACAACCGCAAAGAGATATTTGGTCTACGGTCTTGATAACTTTAGTACAAGACTGTCTGTGCATGTGTGTCATTTATTGTATTGAGATTTGAATGCACTCAGGGATATAATATCACTTTTAAACCTATCAGGAGGTGAATACAATTGGGGAGTAGCCGTCAATATTTGCGTGTATGCGGCTGCTTTGATTCCCATACATATTTTTCTACCTGCATCTCCATCATCATACAGAACATCGAAACAAATCAATTTTCTTATACTGTGCACGAGCGGGTCATTGATGTAGCCGGTGGCGATGGTGGACTACCAGGTATCTTGCTATTACGTATACTGACGATTATTGAGTGCACGTTTAGTCGAAATATTGTTTTGGAAGTTTGAGCTTGTGAGTAGGATTACATATTAAAAGACATGTTTTGGAATACGTATGTATTTGCACCACACTACCATTCTGCTACAAGGACCTACTTCGGTACAAAACAATATGCTTTTGCAATATTGGTCCGTGGGCATCCAAACGGGCTACTGTAGTTCTATTTGACATATAACTTCATACTTAGTTGCATCACCTCCTCATGGAGAAATACAGCTCAAATGCACTTGCGCCTTTTGCTCATATGGTTTCCACCGATATCATTGTAGGTGTGTTCTTCAATCTCGAGATGTCTGCGATCAAAGTAGTGATGACTGAAGAGAGACGTAGTCTCGCTCGCTTTCTCACCAGTGTGTGCGCTATTGTTGGTGGTGTTTTTACCGTCGCGGGATTGGTGGATGCGACGATATACAGGTCGTCCAGAGCGATTCAATCGGCTCAGAATAACAAGGCCAACTAGAAATAAAATAAGAACAGATGTCATCATTTACTTGTATTCCGACAATTACTGTATTTCTGTCAACTTTAAAGCACCGATGTATTTACTTGTGTATATCGAAGTCACTCGGGTTTTGCGTTATATTATTTGGTAAAGTAGAAGCTACATTCGAAATATTCCTGCCGACAGCAGTCAGCTTAACGAATTGAGCTATGCATATATATATATATATGTGTGTGTGTGTATGTGTGTGTGTGTG